CAATTCTTTAGCTGCCGCAAATGTGTCCTTGCCTTGTGAATGTGCAAAAACCTCTGGTTTAGCAATATCCTGCCCGGATACACGCGTCCCTAGACACTGTAAGAAGGGGCCAGGCTTTTTATGGCATAAACACAGCCACAGCCTGTGAGCCCAGCCCTCTGGAGGCTGAGGCAAGAGGACAGCTGAAAGTTCAAGGCCAGCCTGCGCTACAGAACCAGAACCTGTCTCAAAAGAAAAGTAAAAACTAAAAAGATTTCCACACCTTCGTTATTCACAGCTATTTTTAATATTTGTGTCACATCTGCCTGGCAGGTGGAGTGTTGACAAGGTCTCATTGTGCAGCACAGCTGGCTTTGAACTGACTGCATAGTCCACACTGGCCTCGAACTCGCAGGGATCTTCCTGCCTCAGCCTCCCGAGTGCTGAGATTGCAGGTGTGTGCCACCATGCCCACCTTGCCTTGTATTCTCTCAGTGTAGGAAATCAAACTCTAGGAGCAAAGCTGAGCCCAGTCCTCCAGCTGCAACCTGCTGGGGCTGCTGAAATCCCGACTTGAGGCTGCCTTCACGGTACATTGGCCTGTGCTGCCCTCTAGCGACTGCTCCTGCCATGACACGGAGGGACCGGCCCCCGCTGGCCTCAGCGGAGTCAAGCGCTAGCCCCAAGCAGGCCCGCAGCGCACCTTCACCACGCCAGACTGCCGGCTGCCCGCGCGTGTGTGTTTGGAGTAGAAATATATTGTTTAGCTCGTTTTGTTTCGTTTTTTGAGACAGGGCTGGCAATGTAGCCCAGGCTGGCCTCGAACGCGGGGCGATGGATCCTCCTGCCTCAGCCCGCCAGTGCTGGGCTGATGGGCGTGTGCACCCCACCTGGTTCTACTTAGCTCAGTGTTTAAATGCCACCCACAAACAGGGAGGCACGGCAGCCGCTGCTGATCATGGCCTTCACTCTCCTGGCGTAAGATTGCTCATTGCAGTATTTCTTGCCATCTTTATTTTCTTGTTTGTATTTCTAAGTAGCTCTAAACATCTGAGCACACTGCCCCGAAATCTAACAGTTGCATGCTTGAGTAAATATTGAAGTACACGGTATTGTTTTGCTGTCGTGTGGGGCCACTCTACCGCTGAGCTACACCCCTCCGACAGGCTGGCCCTTTTCTATTATTTATTAACTTC